AAAAAGAATCCCCCCTCCCAAAGGCGTCCTCTCGGCTGTCTGCAAACAAAGCTGTCGCCCCAATTTCGGGAGTCAACAGAGCATTTTATTTTCCAAGGTTTGCCTCCCACGCACCCCACCCACCTCCGCTTTTTCCCTTCGCCGCCTCCCCCAGCCCCACTCGGAGCTGCGGGCAGAATTGGTCAGGATCCGCAACCAATACCCGACGAATCCCCCCGCACCTACCTCCCACATTATTACCGCCTCCAAATGAAGACCGAAACCCCGAGCGCTAATTGAATTAGTCTATTGAAAGGATGTCAGGTACAATGACGTGGTTCGAGGCCCCACATTTCCCAAGGTCTATAGGCTTTGGGGACCTGCGATGTATAGTCTGACCTTCCGGCTCATAATAATACAGCCTCACTTGTAGCAGAAATTTCCCTGCATTCACTCCCAACAAAACCGCTGGTCACCCAGTCCCCCTAGGAAGGCTGCGCGCTATTGTGTTTGGACAACTCATTCATGTCCCGCTCCACGAGGCCCCACCGCCATCTGATCTACACTCGAAATGCGATTACCACCGTGTGCATGCACCTCGCTTGCACTCTCGGCCCATCGCGCACACGCCCCGCCAGGCTGCGAGGTTTCCTTTCGCAATTCTCCTCCTTGCGCCCATCGTCGGAAGACAGGCGGAAGCATGCGGCACCCCAGCATTTGTCTCTCCCTAAACGAAATCCAAAATTCTGCTGAAACGCAGGCCGGGCTGGCTACATAATTCTCTTCTCTAAGCCCCTCACAGCGAAACTCTCACCGAGACATTTCCGCCTGCCCAGCTGGGGGCTGACTCCAGTCTGTGTGGCTCTCCCACGTACACAAGCAAAAAGGCACAAATACGAGCGCGGGGACCCCACAGTCCCGGGCCACTCTCCGAGATCGCTCACTGATTTTCCCAAGATTGGGAGAGAGGAGAAACAAAGGTACAATTTCTTAGATCTCACTCTGAGCGTGTCCAGAAATACTCCTGGGTCTTCCTGCTATATGACCCCCAAATTTCTCTAGAAGCCCTCCCCAAATACACATAGGCACTATTCCCTTCTGTCAGGCCAGGCGCCTTTTGCTCAGTGGAAACCTCTCGTTAGCCGCAGAGAATCAAAGAAATATGGACTGGGAGAGGGGGCAGTCCTCCTTAATCCCCACCACTGAAGGCCTCCTTCGACCTCCTTCTGCCTTCGCGTGAGGAGAGAGACCACCGAGTTTATTTCCCCCTCGCCAGCATTTAAAGCAAAACAAAGTATTTTTCTTCCTTGTCAGTCTCTCCTTTTTTTCTGATCTGCGTTTGGAAGTAGAACTTGGGGCCCATCTCCGTATTTCCGAGACATGGCCCAGTCCCCTGGCCCTCTTTGGGGCCTCTGGCCAGGCAACTTCACAGCTCCGAAGTGCAAGGCAATGGAAAGACGCGCTGGGCGCTGGGCGATCCTGAAGTTCCATGCCTGTGGTCCAGGAGCAGAGGGCATTTGGAGAAAGGGGCCCCGTTCCACCCTGGGCGGTTTCTCCAATTCTCCCCCCCACACCTGCTTCCTGCCAGCTCACCTCCCAGCCACCCTGGCCTGGCTGTCTATCAGGTTGGAGGAAATTCCCTCATTCCCAAAGGCAGGAAGGAGGCCCCGGAAAGGATGACCACACCAATGTACCCACGCGTGCACACACGTCTCCACAGACACCAACTTCTGTACCCGCGTACTGGCACACGCCCAGCCCTGGGCTCACTCGGAGTCCTCTGGGCTGCTCACGCACCGGTCTGCACCAACATTTGCTCACTCTCAGCCCTCACACACCTCACTCCCAGGCTCGCCAGGCCAGCGACCCGCTCCCAACGAGTTCCCAATAGTATGTTCATTTTCCAGAGCGAGAGGAGGGCGCCGGCACGGGTGGGGGTGGCGCAGCTCCGGCGGCGGCGCGGGGTGCGCAGGGTAGCGACCTGCGCAGGCCGGGCCTGGGGGTGGGGGGCGAGCCAGCCTGCCGAGCGCTGCCTAATCCAGCCGGAGCTCGTGGGCCGCGGGCGCATTTATCATCCCATTACTGTAACAAATCCGGGCTCCACTACATGAAAGGTAAAATGAATTACCGACGTTAAGCCGTCAATAAAGTCATTTCTGTAAATGGTGTCTCCAAAGGGCCGCGGCATTATTCAGCTGGCTTTATCAGCTGGCTGGAAATTACGTGGAGGAGCCGGGCCGCGCGGCGCGCGGGGCGGCTCACTTTGATTAAGCGTCTTGCCAGCACGATGTGACAGAGCTTTTGACCAGGGTTTTATTCACAGGCCTGTGATGAACGCCAAGCTGATCAGGCGGAATGAAGAGTAATTAAAACCTATAAATTATCTTCCGCAGCCCTTCTCGAGGCGTCTCCTGCAGGGGAGATAAGGCGTTGAGGCCCTATTTACGGTTCTGAAAGGAAACGCGGCGCACAAAAGCTACGCAGCTAAATAGGATATTGATAGTGTCCTAATTAGAATTTAATTAAGTACCCACGCTCGCTTGTGGGATAAAGATTTCAATTTTTCGAACTTAAATAAAAATAAAATCCCACCCCTATTTCGGGGATTAGGGGTGGGGGCGCAGGGAGATTTCGGGGAACCCTTGGGTGTGGGACGGTAGAGGACCCGAAAGAGTCCAAAGTGGGGTTGGGGGCGTCTGGGGAGAGGTGGAGAAGACCGCTGCGGGCTTCCAGTCCTCCGCCCAGGTCTAGCTAGAAACGCAGAGAGCCCCGGGAATCTGGGGACCCTCGGCTGCCCCGAAGACACCCCGAGCAATGCTAATTCCTGCCCACCACCAGTTCTTCTTATGAACTTTGACCACTGCGTTGGTTCGCCTCGGTTTATTTTCCTCCTACTCCCCTGTGATTTTTCTGGAAAACGGGAGGGGGGTATTTTGTCTGTCCCAACTAGACAATATCCCCAAAGAGATTCTTCTTCCGCCGTCGCGTTGTGGAAGGCGAGCAGGGCGGGCAGGTCCATGGAGCTGCAAAGATGACATCCCCGCGCAGGCCTTTCTTCCCTCTCGGCACGGCAGGCTCCAGCAGACTGAGGAATGCTAGTCCTGCAAAACCCACTTGGCAGAGGATCCTCGCCGGTGCCCAGCGCCTCGCTTGCCCCCTTCCCCCGCATCCCTGGCTGTGGGAGAATTTTGGGGTGCCTCGACCAGAAAACAAGAGAAAAAGAGCCCAGCGGACAGGAAACTGATGTCAGCGAGCGTGGGAGCAGCTAGAGCCCCGCGGTGTCCGAAAGCTAGGGAAGAACACGCAAGGCCAGAGCTGGAGGCTCTCAGGGAGTGGCCAGCAATTTCAGGAAAATCAGGTACCCCGCAACCGGGGCAAACTCATTATCCAAATCGTCAGCTAGCCCGGGCCAACACCTAGGGAAACAGGGCTTTTATCTGTTTGATTTTACTTTGCAGGGAAACCTAACATGAAACCCAAAAGCCCAGGCCTTGTTCACATCGTCGCCCAGACTCTCCTGGCCCAGGTGCCCTACCGGGACAACTCCACCATGCCAGAGAAGGAACAGGCGCCCGGCGTGGCCGGCGCACGGGCTCGCCCGCGCCCTCTGGGCTGGGCTCAATGGCGCCAGGGCAGCTCGCTGGGGTTGTTCCAGGTTCGGAGCGGGAAGAGCGGGGATGCAGATCCCCAGGGAACGACCTGCAGTGCAGCCAGTCGGCGTCTGGCCGACAAACGCGCGATTCTGGCTAGGCAAGCCGGGCCGCCGGGCTTTGCTGTTTGTGAAAAATAAATTGCGCCTCTGAAAGTAACCAACTCTAGGTCCATTTCACATCACAACCTCCTCTCTCACTCCTCCCCTCCCAACACACACCCACCCACCCACACCCACACACACAGTGACATCAAGCTCTCCACCTTTTAACAGCGAGAATGACCAAAACAGAAAATGAAAGGCCGAGTTTCTCAGGCGTAAGAGCTAAGGCCCTTGCCTCCTGACCCTGCGCCCGGCGCGCACGCACCCATAATCCTGCACTTTCCAACAAGTTGTTTATGGAGTTGCTTCTCTATTTGCCTACACCCCCCCAAATCCACCCCTCCCCCTGTCTCCTCTGCCCACTCCTCGGTCGCGGCCCGAAGGAGGGGGAGGGGCGGCGGCGCGGGCTGGGGAGGGCGGGAGGGACGCGCCGGGGCCCGCGCCCCGGCGCCCCCTCTCCGCCCGCGGCCGCCGCCCCCCGGATTATTTATCCGCAAAGTCCCGCGCTCGCCCATTGGGCCGCGGCCCGGGTGTCAGCGCGAGTCCTGGCTCGCCATTGGCCCCGCACACGTGCGGCCCTGACTCACGTGCTTCCGGTTTGAAGGCAAAAAGTGTGCCTGGGTGATTTTTTTTTCAGGCGAGAGAGTTTGTGCAAAGATCCGAGCTGTCAGAGATTTGAAAAAAAAAAAAAAAAAAAAAGGCAGCCCCGGCGCTGGCGGAGACGCGCTCTCTCTGCAAAAACAGCAAAGGCGATTAAATGCGCTGCCAGCCTCGCGCTCTGGGCACAGCTGAGCGTGACACTCGGGGAAGTCAAACCCTTTCCTACTGCCTAGCACGACTAGGCTAGACTTTAAAGACTATTTTTTCCCTTTAAGAAAAAAAAATTCTTGGAGCTTTTTTCTTTCTTTTTCTTTTCTTTCTTTCTTTTTTTTTTTTTTAATTTATTTTTGGTCGTGGCTCACTCCCCATTTAAAACAAAGCATTGACTCTGGTCGCAGAAAGAAAAAAGAAATTGCCGAGTGTCTCTGTATCTGGATGTCTACAAATTAGAGCGAGGGCGAGACAGCAAGATCTATCTGCTCGATAAGAGCGAGCGATCCAGGGCAGGCGCCGGGGCTTTTTTCCTGCGCCCGCCCCGTGCCTTCGCCGGGGCTTCGCCTGCCGTCTTCCCTCCGCGCACCCCCACGGGCCGCTGGCAAAGTGGGGTGGGGAGTGAGGCGGGGGGGCGGGGGCCGGCGCTGCGGCCGGGGCGGTAGGGCGGCCGAGCATGGAAGAACAGCAGCCGGAACCTAAAAGTCAGCGCGACTCAGGCCTCGGCGCGGCGGCGGCGCCGGCACCCGGCGGCCTCAGCCTGAGCCTCAGCCCCGGCGCCAGCGGCAGCAGCGGCAGCGATGGAGACAGCGTGCCGGTGTCCCCGCAGCCC